CCCCAAAACCCCAAAACCCCAAAACCCCGTAATATATAATATTAGAGTAATGGGTGTATTATTTTAATTGAAATAAATTAAATTTTAAAGAATTAATATCAGTTATTTGAATTTAAGAAATGAAAGGCATTAAGGGATATTTAAGATTGTTAGATATTTTTGGCCACGAGGTAAAACTGCTTTATAAGGGCAATAGTACCAAATAGACATTGCTAGGTTCATTCATGACTGTCATTTCAGTCGGGCTGATTTTATGGTATATGATTTTGCAATTAATAGACATTTGAGATAACAAGAACTCTTTCAAACAGACACTTATCTAGCTTGATCTTGATAATCTGTTGTTCCCTATCAGCAAAGAGAGTTTTGATACTGCATTAGTTTTGATTCCTCCTTTTGCATTCAGTTAAGCATAGGATAAATATGAGAATATTTACAGATATGTTAACATCACAACAACTCTTACTATAACCACTGATAAATTGGATAAAGATGGGGACAGAATTTCTGAAGATCAGAATCTAGAATTGTTCCAATGCTCAAAAGATAGAATGTTTTCAAGTGATCGGTTTACCTCTATGATAGAAAAATACGAATTCGCAGAGTCACTATGCTATAAATAATTCGAGTAGTTAGAATTAAGAACAGACAACAATAGAATCTCATACCAAATAAGTTCTTGTGACCAAGATTATCTTTCCAAAAAGTATCCTAATTCAACTTGCGAAAAAAACTAAACCAAAGCTAAGGAAATCCTTATGAATACCTACTTGATAATATTTTCATCCTCCTATTATTTCGATCCAGAAGAATTTAATTAGAGCCCAATAAAAGTAAATACAGTATAAAATGCTTTCAGGTTCTCTCAATTTGAGAAAATAGTTAATTTTGAGATTGGCTTGAACAAAGCAATTATATCAGATTCTAAGCTGCATGAGAATATTGGTTCCTTCTCTAGAGAATTTATCTCTACTAAATTTGTTAGTCAAGGGGCAAATGATAAGTCACTAGCAAATCCCATCCACTTTACCATTTAGTAAGTTAAATTTGCCATTAAAATTATTTCTAGATTCTATATGACCACTGAGTAAAATGTATTTGAAAGATAAGCAAATAATCTTGTAGGTGCCCTCTCTAACACAGGTGGTCTTGCTGGAATATTATTTGCTGTTGTTCGAATTCTTATAGGCCCAATGTAGGAATTTCTTTACTACCAGAGTTTAATAGAATAGTCTTTTATGGTTGAAAATGATAGAGTACTAAGTGAGAAGGTTCGAAGGCTTTCAAGAAAAACTTATATAGAAAGAAACCAACTTGCAGAAAATGATAAGAATTTAGATATCTCCAAATTCAATGCAAAAGATTTCAATACTTATCTAGAATTAATCAAAAGACTAAAAAATTGAGTACCATTCAGGTATAGAATGAGATAAAATATCGCTTACTATGCCAAAAAAATATTTCTTTGTAAAAAACGACACTTCAGAATATAGAGAGAAATATTTGAGTTTGGAAAAATGAAGATTGAAAAATAATTTGATATTGCTGTGATTCTAAGAGATTTGAGAACATTCAAAATGACTAACAGTTTACTACTATCTAAGTACCAAAGAAAATTGATACCATTTTTCAAAAAATATCAGCTTAACTAAATGTATGAAAGAAACATTCAAAAATAAGAGAAAGCAATGAAATAAGGAGAGCATAAACTATTCGTTAACGAAGTAACGTAGTTGATGATAGAACTCTTTTCTGATCATTAGAATCCTTCAAACTCATATAATCAAGTTTTTCTGCATAGCTTATTCTTGTAAAACAGAGAAAATGCCTAAAAAGATTTAAAGACATTAATGTATAAGGCTGTCCTCCGGTATTTTATTCAGACGAATATAGATACTCTTAAACTTTGTAAAATGTCAACGCCTTCCGAGAAATCTTTAATATCCAGTGAATAGAAAAGTAGCCCTAAAAAAAGATAAGCAACATTAGTACCTTCTGCTTCAGATTTTGATGATATAAGATTGAAATTGATTATTAATAAGACATAAAATTAGTTATCTACTGATGAAAAATACGATGCAGATCAAAATATAAATCCAATTAATAGCCTCAGAGATGTAGAGAATTAGGTCAACACAGAGGGTAATATCTATCAACGATAGAATGAAAGAAGTTAATCAATAGAAGATCTTTGGGAAGATGCTTAGGTACAAGATACGCATTCCTAAGGCATCATATAATAGATTAAGAGATGATTATACACGAGAGAATATAAGATTTTACTATTTGCTATTGTTATTACGATACATTTTTAGCTTTTTAAAATATTTCAATCAATCATAATCTTGATGACGGGGTTTTGGGGTTTTGGGGTTTTGGGG